CATTCGTGCATGCAATGGCCAACGTTATATTATACTGATTTAATGTAATGATCGATGACCAGGGATAAGAGATATTTTGTAGGAATAGTCTTGAGGCTCTTAAAAGTTGTACTAAAAGTACTTTCTTTTTAAATATTTGTATACTTTACACACATCAATAAGCGACAAAAATATATAAGTATCACTATATTACACGTGCATGACATTATAGTCAATATCTTATACCACAGAATTGTAATTTAAAATTCCATTCTGCGTCATAGTATACTTTAAGCGTCATTTAAATCTAAAATGTCATTGGCGACAATACCCCTAAAAGCAAAGTTATAAGTATCGTAATAAATTCTATTTTTACTGTTGCACATAGTTTAGATACACAAGCATAAGAGTCGTTAAGTTGAGTTTTATTATTAACCTACTTGTGTGTGCTTCATATAGTTAGGATAAAAGGTAACTGTAGAAGAATGTTAAAATAAAAATATTCAACAAAGCAAAAAAAAAGAAGGAAGAGAAGGAGAGTCAGAAGACAAATGATTAATAAAATTGCATATGACAGAATAATAAGGCTGCTTGCATATTAAGCTTTATGTTAGCCCTTTAATTTTAAGTTAGCTTAGACAGCAAAGCTGAAAGATTTGCATGCTCAACGTGAACGAGCGAACTATCTTTTATTTGATTAAGAACGTTTTCCACGAGTCAGCAATCTTTGTTCTCGTTATGTTTATCCGATAAGGATATACAAGTATGAGAGTATTCAACAATCATTGAAAAAGTAAATATAGTTACTACACGATAAATTACTGTGTAATTTAATTTGAATTACTACGAACAACATTAAATCTATAAAGAAGTAAGAGTATGGCAACATACTTTTAAAATAATAATATACATATGCGCGTAGGTGAAATATATTGACAGGCGACGTATGCGTGCGGTAACGTAATTTGCATGTGCAATTAAAATGCATAGAAGGGTCTTTTAAATTTTAATTAAATAGGTTCAGAGCGTTAAATTCGACGTTTAGAGTAGTGAATGGTATTATTGTCGTTGCTTTGTGATCGAATAAATTACGATATTTGCGTGATCCACACGTTTTCATAACGCTGCCTTCAATATTTTCCGATAAAAAATCAGTGAAAAAATAAAGAGGAGACTATTACACTGTTATATAGTAATTGTATACACCGTGGTAATAAGCTCAATATATATATTTCTACTAATATAAAATTTATAACATAATTTATAAAATTAAATTATATGCATAATATTTACAATAGATACCATACATTTTTAATGATTCTGGAATAAGTTCTTAGCTAATAAATGCCAATCATTTTTCTGTTATTAATTTTCATAAATTCAGCTAATATTAATTTTTCGCTATTCAACTGGTTTTGTTTTTTTATTTTCTTATGCATATATTATGTAGTTTTGTTGCGTAAATATATTATTATAATTAAAATATCTATTGAGAATTTTTTAAGATATGTATATACGCACACAATGCAATATTTGTTCAAAGCCCTATAAATCAAAGTTTGGACGGCTTTTATTTGTAATCAGTAAATGTTTCAAAAAATAATGTTCAATATATATTGGCATAAACTCTGAAATAAGGTGTTATATTTTCTGTTCTTTGTGAAGGTGATAATATAAAAAATTTCTAATAAATAAAATGACTTATGTAACTATTATTTCTTAATAAATGAATTGCCAAGATGATCCTCTCATGATAACTGTATAGTTTTTACACACACACACACACTTATTACATACATATATTAAAACAAATTCTAGATGTACAGTTTTAGCCATATAAACGTGAAGCTTCTCCACAAATTAACATAGTATATATCTTTTATATCTAACAAAAAATAAATTATTTTTATAATAATTTTATTTAATATTTGTTAGACTTTTTTTCTTTGACTTTTATTAAAGATGAAAGTAACATGGAATGACAATAATATTGCAAATTTATCTAAAATTCAAATAATATCAATATTATATAAAACTCATTGGCTAGAACATGTTTGAATTTGTTCATTTGTTTTAGATAAACTGACAATGTTGCATTTATCATATTAAGTATTTATGTTACTTTCATCCCTACTCTTTCCTACTGGATTTTTTAAGAAAATGCAATAAATTGAGGATGCTCTTACGGCCATGGCTGTATGTTACGATCTTTTTTTTCTTTTTAAAGACAAATAACAGATAAAATTACACGATATTATATTTATCTCATCAATCACTTTAAAATAAATTTTAGCTTACATTTTGAAAAAATATGTTAATGTCGCGATGACATGAGTTTTTTATGAACTTTTTTGCAACTAAACATAACGAGAAGATCACTGTGAAAAAGTCAAAGTCAAATCGAATGGATTTTCGATTTTATTTCACGCATCTTCTCAAAAACTGATGAACCTCGAAATATGTATGCCATATGATGCATCTACACTTCGATTAAAAGATTCGAAAAGAAAAGAGAGAAGTACATTTAGGATATCATGCTGCAGAACGCGCGGTATTCTATGAAAGCAATTGCTAAGAATTTGCGGTGCTTTTCAACGTTCAACTACGGCAAAACGCTCGATCACGATCGTGCAAAATTAATGGGCGTGGTGATACATGTCACACCATTGTAACTAGTAGATGCTATTTCGATTGGAAAAAGCCACTTACAAGCCTCAGATTGGAAGAAGTTTACGACAACTCTATGGCTGCTCTAGCGTGTAAAACTAACTGGAGAGTCTCACCGGAGTCTCTCACATCGAATCGGTTATCCCAGTCGAGTCGATAAGGGAGTCGCAATTACACAACTTTTACAATACTTCCGACCTAGTTTGTGTTTCCGTACAAAATCGTTTCGCACACGCTTTCCTGAATAGGATTCTAGATAACGATAAAGAGAATAATAAATGACGAATCTTCGACAAATTCTATCCTCTGCGTTTCATGTTATCACTCACTATTTTAATACCGCAAACTTTCGCATTACATCGTAGCTGTCACGTTATTTCACACGACGCTTTTATACTTCATAAAGATTTAAGTTTGGCAAATGCGATCGATTTTTATCAATGTAAAACATAACAAAGTTTCTTTCCAATTGTTGCGCATAACGATTCAATTTCTGGACATTATTCTTTGACGACTTCCAATGCTATCTTTCGATCTAAACTAGCTGGATTCATGTCATAAACAAGCTTCTATATATAATAAATAAAACTTATTATAATTGTGATGTCATTTTAAAAACTCGAGCACAGCCTAGATGTGAAATAAGATTTAAAGAAGGAATAGTTCAAGGAAAATGACTTCGTATCTCAGGAGACATTTGTCTGGTATATGTCGAGATTTGTCAGGCGGAAATTCTTTTGCGGAAGTCTCGTTTTAAGAAACGGCTGGTCGGAGTCGTTCGGATGATGATGCGCGCACCAGCAAAAAAAAGAGTGAAGCTCGATCTTGCGAAAGGTTGCAGAAGATTCCCTTCGATCGGTCCGACAATTCAATTATCCGAGCGATTGGATTTTCCGCGCCGTCCATCAGGAGTAAATTATTTCGTACTACAACGAACAACGAAGAGCTGTTGCATCCTATGGTGTTCAACGAATCATCTGACATCGTGGCACACGCAAGAATAAGCGTCGCTTGTGGCTGATGCATTTCTGAATCGCAATTCGGAGATACTTCGGAAAATCGGCATCGATATCGTGGAAGATTTATCAAAGCGAGACGAGGTCATCGAAGCTGTAGATAGATTTATATTCACATGCATCCGACCATCGTTCCGCCTCCGCCTCGTATCGGCCCGACCAGCGTGAGCTTTTATCGATCACGCGAAACAATCTCGTTGATTGTTCATTGAAATACAGTGATGAATTATTTTTGTGCAGTACCGCGATCTCCGGATCGATGTGATTCAGTTAAACATCGTATTGATTAAGCGTAGGTACGTAATCGTATAATATGTATAAATATAATTATGTATATAGCTTTATCTTAATTAAACATAATGAATTTTACAATCAATTTTACTTACTCTTGTCCGTTATATCTGTCAAGAATTTAGTCACAAAGAGAGGAAAAAAGAAAGTGCTTTGCTTTGGTGAGTAATTAAATGTAGATAATACTGTATAATATAAACATATCAGAAAATTTAAAACTTAAGAATGGCATGTTGTAAAATAAATTATGGGCTCGCGGATTATTAATGTAAATTAGATTTCAGATATTTAGGATATTTCCGAAGGGATTAGAGAGGGACTGAAGCGAGTTTAGAAAACTCGATCTTGATAGAATTTGTTAAAAGTTAGTATACGAGCATCGCGTAAAAATCGTTGTGCTTTCAAAGTTTAAGAGTTTTAACTTTCTGGTTTCTTGATCCAACTTACCTTATTTCATCAGAGAACATTATTCTTTTTGCAATATAATAATCAATATAAATAATGTAATGTTGTTTTACGAAAGAGAATACTATGTAATTAAAATCTATAAGCATCTTAATTATTATACTATTTATATCGTTTAATTATTTCTGTAATATTTTGTTTAAAATTGTTTTGTTTTAAGTTGTTACTCATACAATTTAAACTAAATTGCGTCCATGTATTCTGTTGTAACGTGTAGAATTAAAAAAAATCATATTGTACGCTGTATACAGAGGGCATATGTTTCACGAATAAAAAGGTAGTGTAATTTTTTACACATATATATCATGATGCAGCTCTGATTATGATTTAATAAGAATATCATTAATGTTAATTTCATTCAATTTCGTCTCGTGGATTAATAAAAAATAATCAACACACATTTGTTATACTTATACAATAAAAATTAGTATCTACAGAATATAATTACTTATTTCAATTTTAACATACCACGAGAAAGATTATTGGAAATTTCAGTAACGGAATGGCGATAGAAATGTAAAGATGTACATAAAATGTGCATATAAGGATAGAAGAAAGAAAAGAAAGAGACATGCGACTCACCAATGCCTGGGCGGCGCTCTGGTGCTGCAAGCAAGAAACATTCAGTTACAATCACAATAACGACAATCAGTTAATGTTTTTTAGCTAGCTCGTGATAATACTAACAAACAGTTCAACAGTAATGCGGTGCTTACGAAAGCTTGAACATTGACTGGTACACAGACAACATCGAAAAAATATGTAAAGTCGTAGAAGCCAACAGTCACAAATTACAACTCACACACATATCGAATTAAAAGATTATAATGATGACTCAGAGAAAATAAAAGATTTTGTGACTATCGACTCCTTCGATTACATATTTTTCTAAGTGTCATTCTTTTTTTACGACATGGCTGTACGTTGCAAGCTTACATAATGCGTAATTTTTCGTGTTGATAAGGTCGTATGTTATGTATTGCTGTTGATGCTTTGAATAATGTAACGATAAATCAATAATGTAATAATTTGATAAACTAGTTTCGTCTTTAACGTTTAAATTCGTTAAATGCGCAGTGGTCGATCTTGATCTTACAGTATTTTCGTCTAATTATATCTTTTAAGGAGTGTGCGTTTAATCAGTCGGCGTTTATTTAGAAGAAAAAAAGAAGAAATCTATTAGCTCTTCCCGTCTTTAAAATTGTCGAGGATTATTTCTTCAGGAGCATGCATTTTTCGCATATTTGCTTTTACTTATAAGAGTAGCACTAAAAGTGCTAATCTTACAGTGATTAAAATAAATAGTACTGATGAAATCTAAAGCTATCAATATCATGAGTGTAATTGCAATAGCTTTTGGTAAGCCGATTCTTTTATCATCTAACTCGCACGACTTCGTTTTATTTGCACGTACTCTTGAAAGCGTTGCGTGGATGTGTATGTATGTGTTCGCGCAGTTTGTATGTTACATAAAAATATTTGTTCGCGTAAGCACCGTGGTGCTGTCACAGGCAGACCACTGTAATTCGTTTAGAGATTTGGTGTTTTCCGCATGAAGGAAAAACCGAAAGTAGCATTTATCGCGAGTGGGAAAGCAGTGTGACATGCATAGTACGTATAAAATTTAACAAAAGCAAATGTTTTTTCAAAAAAGAAAAAGCGACACACGCTTGATTTGAAACGCGTCTTCAATTAAAGCCTGGGACGCAAAGCAATGTTGACCGATGTCAAATGATGCGAAAAACATCGAATTGACATTTAATTAAAGCACTTGCCTTGGAAGATGAATTTCACGCGGGCGTGAACGCGTAATAGCTTCAAGACAAGTTACTGTCACTTGGGGACATTGAAAAAGAGGTTTAAACGGAGGTAGTAAACAGCGATTGTCACATTATTAGAATAGAAAATGATATCACTCGTTAAACGACGCAAAGGACGTAAGATTACAAATTAATACTTGACATTTGACATTTGTTTCGATTATACATAATCATATTGTATAAACTCGCTATTTTCATTGTCGATCCCAATATCCATTTTTAACTCGCAGAGCTGCATTTAATTACGTTACAATAAAATTATTGTTTCTGACGTACTTCCATTATATCTTTTCAATTATGAAATACTCCTTCAAGCTTCTAATACGTGTCTAATATTAACAACGTTAATTGTTTATTAGCTTTTAGCAATAGGAAAATTAATTCTCTACATTTTAAGTACTTGAAAATATGCGAAAAATTTATATATATTTCAAAGATTATCAAATTACTACACGTAAAAAATAGTTTACGAATCATCACGATATAAGCAGTATGATAATGCGATATTAATCTCAGCGAAACTTAACTAATATTCATAAAGATGATTGCAAACGCTTTGTAATTAACGGAATGCCCATGAGAATAGAACGATAAGCGGTTTGCTGTCTTTTGTGAGAAGTCAAGCTGCATTAAATTCTCCTCCTCGGTATGTATTATAATGGCGCTCATTCACCATCGAGCTTTCTGCCATTTGCCAGCAGTGCTGCAGCGACAAGATTGAACGATCTAATATATTTAATTAGGAAACACCAAAGTTGTGGCGATACCGATTGTTGCGGTAATGCGTGGAATGACATTTTACGAGAATGTAATCTAAAATAACTTGAGCAGAGACAAACTAGTTTAACACAATTTAATTCAGAAACATCAAAGCATATTTCAGTAGCGGTAAATCACGACGAGTTACAATACAACGTGCCCTTAAGAACTGCGAATAGAGATAGCACGAAAAAGCGTAATAAAGAGAAAATGTCAGAAATGATAAAGTTCGGTACTTGCATTTTCTTTTGTAGAGCGGGCCTATTTAAGTAAATAATCCTTTGCCTTTCACTGTCGCCATCGGCAAACGAAAAGAAATATTATTATGTGTAATGCGAAAGTTTCAAAGTGATAATTCTCTCTGATTAATTTGTGGAATTCTTTAAAGTGGCTCGATCTCGAGGATAATCTCGAGTAAAATGAACGGCTGGATTGGAAACTCTTTGTGAGATCGATATGGTCATCAGTGTGAAAAATACGAAGAACAGACAACGAAGACTAAGAAAAACCAATAAAATTTCTTAACCGCATTTCTTTGCTAAATACCAAAATATCCTTCTTTCAAAATTGATAATTAATCGAGAATTATGATTATACATACACATTATGTATATAATTCGTTCTATGAAAATGCAATAAAAACTTCGAGCGAATATTTTATAATTTAATTAACACGTAAATGACTAAGTAAAATTCATTTGAATGAATTAAAATCGTGTCTGTTGAATCTTTATAGTTAAACGTATGTGCATAAAAAGTGTATGCTAAGATTAATGTGCCATCTTTAAATTCGTTTAGCGTAAGCCGAGAGAATACAGAATATATTAATTTTTTCACATTCAACTTAAAACTTATAAATAAAATACAAAGTGAAAGAAATGAATATACTAATCACTGCTAATAAAAATTTGATTAAACATTCTAAATGTGTACGCCAATTATTTATTTAATCTTTCTTAGTCAATTATTCTAAGTAATTAAATAAAAAGATATAATAATAGTGACAATATTTGAAATATTAGAAATATAGAACTTTTCTACACGTGAACATTTATACATTGAAATTGCGACACGAGCGTATTCTACACACGAGGATAATTACATATATAAGTTCTTAATGAGATTAGCCTTGTTAAAATTCTGACTCTCGTTAAAAAATCATTACGATTAAGCGCATTGCGCAAAATTACTTTCCGATTAAAAGTAAAAGAAAGGTGTGATAGTGATATTGACCTACATCACGCCTCACGGAGGCCGTATATGTATATGTGTCACTTCGGAAGTACATAGAATCATCACTTTATGGCTGGTGGAATTGCGTTCCAGTGATTCCAGTTGTAACAATTACCGGCAATCCACGATGAACTATTGTACAATTTAACACGACATGCTGCATGATCTGCAAGCCAACAATTTTCATTGTCTATATATTTTATCTTTTTCGAGACTCTTACCCTTTTCTAGGTCCAACAGAAATTCCCCTCGAGGACGGTCTAATTCTCAATTGTGGCAGGAATATTTTCTCTTCCCTTTTTTCTTCTTTACGAGACAAAGGAGCAGATTATGACGGAAGATTTACGACGGCAATTATGAGGTTGCGATCGCGAGCACATCGATCAGGTCGACCTATATCTATGCTGCGCTTACTTGAGGAATAACATTCCAAAAGCAGTTCAGTCTGAACATATGTATACTTCTGAGAGGGAGAATGTTTGCGTTTGCAAAGTACTTAAGTCGAGATGGTCGCATACATTTTAATCAACTATTGAACTTGCTGAAATTTTCATTCCACTGAATAAAGCTTTTAATACTTTAATACTTAAATCTTTTAATATTTATTTTAAAGCTCTAATGAAATCTAATGTCGTATTTAATATCGTAATGCACTCTACTGTACATGATTGCTGCTGACCGGCAGTACATACGCCACATCGGTGAAATAAATTCGTCCCGACTTTGGTCTTAAAGTTCAACGTCGAAAAGTCCAACTCACGTAATAAATATCAAGTACATTTAAATTATTAGAAAGTAAGGGAAGGAAATCTTTTCTTTCCGCCCGCATTTAAGAAACCTCGCGAGGCATATCAGTTTCCTGATTTGTGTGTGTGTATGTGTGTTGTACGTGTGGACAGAGAACTTGTGATTTTTCTCTAACAATCACGCCATTATTTTGCTATGGCCACGTTCCACTTAGCGCGACACTTACCCCAGCGATTACAGCTGACCCAGCGGCCGCCGAGTCTGCGGATTATTGTTCAATTTGCTCGGCGCCATCGTGCGACGAGGCCGCGCCCTCAATTTTCATATTTCCACCGTGAAAACTCCTGTCGTGTCACATTGTTCTTTACGACAAAAAATACTGACGGAATACGGGACCGTGATACTTCAACAGTGATTCCATATGGAAATCTACTGTCTCCATTACTAATAAGATTACTATATCGTTAAACATTAATTATGGTGAATTGCGGATCTCCTGGCTCATTATACCGCCTACCATTTCATAATCCGAGTCCTCAAATATTCATTAAGCTTAATGCCTACTAAGCAACTGCTATCTGGCGCACGTGATAAAATATATCAGCTGCCATAACACAGTTTGTATAATAACAATATTTAATAAGTATTATTCTTTCACTTTATAAAGTGGATATTCTGAATAGTAGAGCCATTTTGTATACAGTAAACACGCGAACATGTATATATGATGTTTGAATAATCTTTGAACCGGAGAGAGAACGACATTGTACTAAAAAAAGATTAAAGAAATATATACTCGACGGCAGAGTATACAAAGGAGGTACGTACTCGGTGTTCGGCAGAAAAGTAGGTCGAGGTTTTACAAGAAACCAATATGGTTGTTAATTATTATGCGCTATATGTAACAAAGGCACAGAACGACAGCGTCAGTAGTACTAATACTTCGAAAGTTACGTTTGTATTTGCATCAAGAATTGTAACTATAAAACATGCAAAAATAACACCGTTAAACGCTGTTCAATCAACATAAGTTGCTGACATAAGAAT